CTATCTTTCTTATATGAATCACACCTCATGGAATCAAATAGTAATTAAAGGGAAAGTTTTTCTTTACAGAAGACATTAAACAATAAATAAAGAAGTAATGACAGAATTGGAAAGTTTTTGAAAACCCTAACAAACTAACGAATGTAGGCAATGTTCCTCAATGACTGTTCACGCCCTAAGAAAGCTGCATCACTTATAAAAAGCATTCTTGCTAGAAAACAGATCTCAAATATGATCAAGCCCAACTACTCACTTATAGGGAACACAGAATGTGAGAAATGCCACAGGATAAACCAATATGGTTTCTTCAATAAGTAAATTGCAAGGAAAAAAAAGAAGGAACTAACAGATTAAAAGAAACTTCAGAGATATTTTGGTCTAATGCAATGCTTGGACCTTATTTAGACCCCAATTTGAAAAAAAAAGAAAAGCAAAAAAAAAAAAATATATATATATCTTAATAAATGAGGCAGGCTGTCAGTCAAATATGAATAGTGGCAGAATATTTGATGATATTAAGGAGGCTTAGTTAATATTCTTAGATATATAATATAATTAGATATCATATAATGGTTTATGGTTATGTTTATAGAATGATTCCTTACTCTTTAGAGATACATACTGAAGCATTTTGGGGTGAAATGATATCAGGGACAAGGCCACATCATGACCTTCATTGGCCCTCAGCACTTTTGCCTTCATGGGTCCCCTCCCACCATAGTAGATTTTTGGGATCCTAAAAATATCATTGCTTTCTGAGGTGAGAAAAAATTAAAACATTTTATTCAGTCTTACAAGTTCATTTTTTCCTTTCTAATCTTAAAAGAAATGAAAACATCTTCATGGACTCCTGAAAGTCTGCTGGGCCCTGGCACCGTGCTTAATGGATGTGTTTGCCCTGGTCTGGGATTTGCTTCAAAACAATCCAGTGGGTAGAGGAAGGGAAATGGATATTAGGGGTGTGTGTGAAGGAAAATTGGCCATGAGACAGTAATTGTTGAAGTTGTGTGCCTGGGCATGGGGAGTTATCATATCATCTTTCTCCTTTTATGTATGTTTGAACAGTTCCACAATAAGTTAAAGCATCAGTTTCTGAAAAAAAGGCTTCTTTGAATGTTTTTATTTTTTACGCAAAGGAACAGTACAGAATAAATAAAAGCAAAATAAAAAGCTGGTTATTTGAACTTCGTGTTCATGTGGGTCCTGAATAAATAAGAATCAAAGATATCAAGCCTCATTTGACACAAAGACCCAATTGTTAAAATTTTGCTAAGATTTAAAATCTAACCTGAGAGTGTTTTTAAAATTAAAAATTTTTTAATTTGCTTTCTAGTTTTTTGATGGTAGGAAGAATGACACCCATATGGATGAAAATGCTGCCTACCAATAGGGAACCATTTTATTTTGGAGCAAGCTGGCTAGGGACAGCATTATGAGAATTTCACAGTGGCCTTTGTGACAAAATAATGAATACAAATAAAGGGCAATACAGGAAGTCTATCCTGCCTTTCAGAAAAGCTGCATTTGGATATTGTGAGCAGGTGAGTGCAATATAGGCTTTGTGACAGAGTAAACTCCAGTATACCAAATATTGGTGTGGGCAATTCTCCACCTCACCCCAACCCCCGCCCCAGTAAGGTTAGACACCCCCTGCTGACTTCTCAGTACTTCCCTCTCTCCTCTATCCATTCACTCAGCAAAAAGGTACTGGACATCTCTGTGCCAAGCACTGTGCTCGACACCTGTATACAGAGTGAACAAAACCTGGCTCTCACCCTGAAGGAGCAAACTGGAAAGAACAAGTCAGCTACTGAGGAGACAGAGATGTAAATGGAAACTTTCAAAACAAGTTGACAGGCATTTTATTTTAAGATTTTCTTTATTTGTCAGAGAGAGAGGGCATGAGCGGGAGGTGGGGGGGAGGGGAGAGGGAGAAGCAGGCTCCCCACTGAGCAAGGATCCCCATGCAGGACTCGATCCCAGGACCCTGAGATCATGACCTGAGCCAAAGGCAGCTGCTTACCCGACTGAGCCACCCAGGCATCCCACAACTTGAGAGGTATTTTAATGGGGTAGGTGGAGAGGGTTAGAAGGCATCCCACAGAAGTGAAAGAGGAAAGTTTTCTGGAAGTGGAGGGAAATTTAAGAGACCTGAAGGGAAGTAGCATGTTTCAAGAAAAGCAGACTGAAGAAGGCATTCTGGGCAGAGAGAGAGGTGTGTGCAAAGCTGAGAAGGCTGGGACAGTGCAGATAGGTATGAATGCCAGGCAGAAAAGCGGTGATAAAGGGGAGACTGGGTGCTGGAAAATGCTATGGAGACACTAGGCCATGAGAAAGTGGTCATGAAGAAGCACATGTCAGGGCGCCTGGGTGGCACAGTTGGTTGAGCGTCCAACTCTTGGTTTCAGCTCAGGTCATGATCTCAGGGTCATGAGATCAAGCCCTGTGTCGGGCTCCATGCTCAGCACAGAGTCTGCTTGAGATTCTCTCTCCCCTTCCCTCTGCCCCTCTCACTCATGCTCTCTCTCAAATAAATAAATAAGTCTTAAAAAAAAAGAGAGAGAGAAGCAAATGTCTATACCAGGGTCCTTCAAGTGTGGGCTGAAACCAGCAGCAGCAACATCACCCAGGAACTTGTTAGGATGCAAACTTCTCAGGCCCACTGTAGACCTCCTGTATCAGAAACTCTGAGGATGGGGTTCAGCAGTCTGCATTTTAGCAAGTTTTCTACGTGATTCTGACACACGCTAAGTTTGAAACCATTGGTTCTCAATCGGGAGCAATTTTACCCTCCAGGAAACATCTAGCAATATCTGAATAGACCTTTGGCTCTAAGACTGATGGGGCTGGAGTACTATTAGCATCTAGTAACCAGGGATGCTGCTAAACATTGTAGAACGCATAGGACAAGCCCAACAAAATCCAAATGTTAATGGTGCAGCTGTTGAGAAGCCCTGATCCTTCCTTCTTCCCTTTCTCCCTCTCCCTCTCCAACCCCCTATATCTTTCTTTCTCTTTCTTTCTCATCTATCTATCACCCATCATCTATCTCCTTTATTCCCACTTGTTCCTCTACAGACAGCAGAACACTCACAGGACCATAGAGGGCTTCTTTTGTGAATTTTTTTTATACCATTTCAGACAACCCTCTCCTTTTATTCAATTCGTAACTCCCTATGACAAAGTTGATCTATGGCTAATGGACATATTATTTGATTTCTGCCCCACGTAGGGCCAGTTATCTCGCTGGGAATGGAATGGGGGTTGCCCAGAATACAGGCAGCAATCACCACCCTAGGCCCGAAGCTGAAGCTCTTGGCATTCTGCATATGAACTGACACATGAAGTCCCAAACAGCCAGGAGTCCTGATTTTGACATGAAAGACAGTCTTGATGGCAAGTGAGGCTTGAAATATCTTAGCTCTTATCAGAGACAAGATATTCAGGACAACTCTGAGTTGCTCCTCAAGAACATGGAGAGAAGCGTATCTGCTGAGAGTTCAAGCACAGAGTCCACACAGAACAGTATGAAGCAAAGATATACAAGGTCACATTAAAGAAGCTGGGACTAACCAACCAGACAGGATTCTAATCTGACAATACTGTCAAATCAAAAGAACTCTATCAGAAGAAGGCTTGTGGGGCAAAAAGGGTGAAGACAATGTAAAGTTACAAAGACAAACACTGGCAAAGCCCATCTAACAGTTTCCAGGGGATTAGGTGCGCTGAAAGATCAACATGAATGGTTAGTCTGCCTCATGGACCTATCTTCCCTTAGTGGAGGTAGAGGTCCTAGGCTTTCGGAGTCTGAAGCCATTCACCATCCCTGTTATTCAGCACCCCTGGCTCTGCTGTCAGACTATCATAGCAGCCTTCTGATAGCTGTCTTTCCTATGGCTGGCCCACAGAGAGACAGTGTCTTGATTAAGCTGATGTGAATGCTGAGGTTGCTTGATGGGCATGTTTCTCACTGAACATGAATTAATCGGCCTTTCAGTTTATAGGTTCCGGTCTCTACTGAATTTACTTAGTCATCCTGAATTGGTAGAATCAACTCTGCGGCATGGATAACATGGAGTTTCTGGACTCCCAAGGCAGAAGGAGGGTCAGAGCTTAGACCATAAAAAATGCTTCCTGGAGTCTGCTCCTGGCATTCTACCTCTTGTTGTTCTTTGGTCAACCTCGCAAGGTGTCTTTTCTTCCAACATATATATTCCCATGATACCCCAAAAGCATTTGTGGTAGATTGAAAAAAATGGCCACCATACTTGGCAGCTCTTCTCACCAAGAGGCAGTCTATTTCCTCACCCCTTGAGTCTGGGATGGCCATGTGACTTGCTCTGGCCAATAGAATGTGGAGGAAGTGACCTCATATGAGTTCTGTGACTAGACCTTAAGAGACTTTGTTTACAGCTTCTGTTCTTGCTCTTTCAGAACTCTAATGTCACTATGTGTACAAGTCTCCAAGCTAGCCTTCTGGATGATGAGAGATAAATGGCTCAAATACCCAATCATTCCAGATGATAGCTAGTCAAGCCCCAGAAGCAGAGTCACCTTGCAAATACATGAGAGTCCAAGCAAGACCAAGAGAAGAACCTCCTAGGTTAACTCAATTTGCTGATGCATAGGGTCATAAGCTAAATAAATGATTATTGTCTTAAGCTACTAAATTTTGGATTGTCTGTTATGCAACAGCAGATAACTGATACAGTGTTTGTATTTTTAATATCTCCCAATTGCACCATGAACTTATTGCCACAGTTTGTCTCTGAGAAGCCACGGATTTTGCCTCTTGACATAACACAGTCAGGATTTATCTTGGACTATCTCATGAGCTTCAATGGCTCCTGCAGAGGAAATAGCCCCTGCATCTTCCATCAAGATGCTAAGAGATTTGCGTAAGTGGTACAGAAAATGTTGGGTTTGCCAACATTCACATGAGGAGAAAGAGGAGAGTTAAATACATAAACAATTGCATTTCTCGGAAATAGATTTCTGACCTTCAGCCGGCGGTCTGGATCTCCACTGCATAGAGAATTGACTGATACTTTGAATGATTTCCAGGCTGGGCTTAAGTTATTCATAACAACCTGAGGAAAGAAAGAGAGGAAGAGGAGTGGTGGGTTGGGGAAGAAATGCTTGACATTTTCACATTTCAACATAAAAACTGTTAGAGAAACATTGTGGCGCTTATGAAAAGGACAATTGCCTGGAATAGATGTCTTAATGAAAACATGGAGTAGAAAATCTTTTAAGGGTTCCCATTAAGTGGGTCATTATGGGCAGAACTCCTGTGGCCACTGGCCTGGCTGTTGTCTCATAAATAATGACAGTAATATATTCCAGCATGTAGATGCTGGGGATGACCCCTCTATATCAAATGGAGCTAGGATTGAGGAGGCAGGCCTACCTCTGGCCTCTGATAAAGGATCTCCAGTTCTATAGGACTGTCATTCCTATGCAGTGTAAGTAAAGACCCTTGGTTGGTGTAGAGATTGTTAGCAGGTCATTTCTACTGCTAAAGAATTGAATGGTTTTTGGTAACTCATGACCTCGAGTCAGAGCAGATTGCAAGTCAGAGGAGAAGTTTCTTTTAAAAGAAAAACCCCAGGAGTATACTTATACCAGCTATCCTAGGAAGGCATAATAGGGCAGAGCTTCAAATCTTCAGTGTCACAAACTAAGTCTATAACAGTGAAATCCTTTTGGAAGCAGCTTGCTAATTAATCCTGTCCAAGAATCCATACGAGTCATCTTAGTCTGCCATCACTATGATTCAAATAAGTCAACTGGGCTTAGAATGTATGAGTATTTGCTCTGTGCCTAGGACTGTACTGTGTACTTTAGGATAGGGGTTCCCAAAGTGTGGTCCTTAGAACAGCAGGAGAACCAGCATCACCTAGGAACTTGTTAAAAGTGCAGATTTGTAGGTTGCACCCAGACCTACTGACAGAAACTCTGGAGGTGGGCCGCCTATATGATTCTGATGCATGAAATTCAAGAACTACTGCTCTAGGGTATGTACAACTGAAGTCAAATAGAATTCTGTCATATCGATTTTTCTTCCTATGAAATTTTTAGTTAGCAGAAGCCTTAGCATTATAAAAAAATTAATTCTCTATCTAAATAACATAGTTATTTTTATAAGTGATTCTCTCTTATACTGGATTCCTTAATATAACTATGAATTATTGATTGTATCATGGACTCTAATTATTAAATTTCTTTGATTGCATTAAAGTACAAAAAATAATGCTCCTGTGGGGCTTTGTCTTGTGCCCTGATACCCTGGGGATGATCAAAGTGATAGAAGAAAAGTTCGATAAAAGGGTTTGGGTTAATTTAAAGTTCTCACCTTTATATAAAAACACTAAGAAGTGATGATATTTCATTGCAACAGTTTTGAAAAACTGAATAGCAGATCAAAGTTTCAACTAGAAATTTCCTATGAAATTAGAATTTGTGTGTGTGTGTGTGTGTATGCACTTCCCCTAAGAGAACAGTATTCTTAGTATTTATTTCATATCTGTTGAATAAGAAAGGAAAAAAATCGATGTCATGTTGCTGACTCATTGGAAAACTTTACAATCACGTTTCTTGTGAGACTCCAAAAGCCCCTCAGGATGGAGGTATGGGAGGAGTTCTAGAGATTCTTGGGAATAGGAGAATTTACCAATACCAATAATGAGAAAAGGACTGCTGTCAGGAGCAGAGGAGAGGGGGATCTTGTGAGAGAAGTCTAATAATACAACTCTCATCTCCTTTCTGTCTGCACATTAAAGCCCTCATTCACTGGCCGGAGCAAAAGCATGAATGGACACAACACTTCTAATTCTCACCAAAGTTTATTTACTTCTCCTGGAAGAAGTCTGTCCCACCAAAGGAATCTGTATCTGTGAAAAGGACTCTATTTGATGGTGGCAATTTGGTGCCACTCAGGGAAACTATTGCACCTCAATCTACTCCCCAGGGATTAAATTCCAGATAATCACATTGTACTATAACATGTAGTAGACATATTATCTATACTCAACTCCATTCATTATCCATTCTTTTATTCAGCACATTTTATTAAATGCCAACTATGTACCATATCCATAGACTTTGCCCATTCAAGACTATTTAATTCTTGTCTACCTTAAATATATCACAAAAAGTTCCCCTAATGCTACTTGCAACTCTATTACTTTAGGAAAATGGAAATGGATTTCTAATGTGAGGTAGTGGGAACATGGCACCCCCACTATAGTCCTATGAAAGTCATGAGGGTTTCTTCTTCATTTACTCCACCACTGGTGGTGTGTGTGTGTGTGTGTGTGTGTGGGTGTGTGTGTGTATACAACAGTCTTCTCTCAGCTCTGTTATTCATCACAATCACCCCACATCCCCCTTATCAATGTACTTCTCATCCCTACAGACTCTCTTGGACTAGCTTGTAAATAAAATAAAATAAAAAGTGGAGATTGGGGTTGGTCGTTGAATGGGTGTGTGGTACTGGGTGGTGGTGGGGTTAATAAGGGATAAGGTTTGGAGCCCTAGGGAGAAAGAGGAGAGGGCTCGAGAAGGAGATGCAGCTAGACCAAGTGGCAGCTGAGACAGGGCAGGTGTTCATATGATAGGCCTGACATCAGCCCAGTGTATGAACTTTTACTGGGGAGGCAGAATGGCTTCCCAAATTATAGTGAAGCTCAGGCCAAACAAACTTGGTTCAAACCTCTGCTCTACCCCTTGCTAACTATGAGAACTTGGAAAATCATTTGACTTCCCAAAGGTTCAGTTAATCAACTATAAAATGGGGGTAATAATAATCATGTCAAGGGATTGTTGTGAGAAGAAAATAAAATAATGCATATAAATCACTTAGCACAGGGGCGCCTGGGTGGCTCAGTTGGTTGGGCGACTGCCTTCGGCTCGGGTCGTGATCCCGGAGTCCTGGGATAGAGTCCCGCATCAGGCTCCCGGCTCGGCAGGGAGCCTGCTTCTCCCTCTGGCCCTATCCCCTCTCATGCTGTTTTTCTCTCTCTCTCAAATAAATAAATAAATAAAAATCTTTAAAAAAAAAAAAAATCACTTAGCACAATGCTTGGCACTTAATCACTCTCATTAAATGTTAGCTAATATTCATATTTTTATTACTAATAAATTGCTGACTGAATGTATTGAAGGTCAACACTGGAAAATTTGGGTGAGAGAGGGTCTTGTAATATAACTAAACTGAGAATTAAAAAAGCTACAAAAGGCAGAGAGTCCTCTTAAAGACAGTGAAGACTCCAGACTACAGACATCAAGAAATGTAAGGGGCTTCTTGAAACAGGTCAATTTATTATCTTAGAAGATGAGATGGCAACGCTGAAGATGACTCTTCTCACCTCAGTTCGATGTACAAGCTGCTGGGTTGCATCATCATTCATACGAAAAATTTCCAGAAATGGGTCAGATTTACTGAAGAAATCCTAAAATAGATAAACAAAAATCAGTTATTCCCCACCTACACATATTTGATCCTGCCTTGAATCAAATGCCACTGGATTTGACCCTTCCCTGCTTTGTTCTTCATCTCTGTGATCCACCCTTGGCTAGAATGAACTGCATCTGAACTCCAAGTCCTTGGAGAAGTACATTCTTCGTTGAGTAAAATCCAAAGTATTCTTCAAAGATCAATTCCAATGATCATGTTTGAAAAGCAATGTATCTGTTGTCTTAAACATATTAATTATAGTTATCATTAAAGCCTCTGTCTGATGACTATAGTATCTGGATCACCTATGGATCTGTTTTTATTATCTGTTTCTTGGTTCTGCCTCTTGGTATACCAGACACTGTAAGAAAGACTATAAAGGCTTCAGATGAGTCTTTAGCTTCTGGTAAGCAGTTAGAATGGGGGAACTTACCTGAATCCAATTAGCATTGCGCTATTTAGAGATTGGTTTCTTCAAAAATCTTTATAGGCATAATATATTTTTGATTCATTTATTCTTTGAATATTATCTTTAAAGGGCTCTAACTGGAGGGGAGGAGCAAGATGGCGGAGGTGTAGGAGCCCTAAATTTCATCAGGTCCCAGGAATTCAGCTGGATAGGGATCAAACCATTCTGAACACCTATGAACTCAACAGGAGACGGAAGAAAAGAACAGCAACAGCTCTCTGAACAGAAAAGCAACCACTTTCTGGAAGGTAGGATGTGTGGAGAAGTGAATCCGAGGCGATATTCGGGAGGATAGATGGCGGGGGAGGGGCCTCTGTCGGCCACTTCTGGCAACTGATAGAACCACGGAGCACAAAATCGGAACTTTTAGAAGTCTGCTCCGC